TGACTAAAGGGGGTTGCAGACAGCCTGTGGAGTTACAACTGCCAAGCTATGCGTGCTGTATGTTTGGCATACACACGGTTGATTCCGGCCCCTTTACCATCTGTTATTGGCTATTTCAAGCTCACAGTTTCACATGAACCAAAAGCATTAATTAGCAGTGCAGTTTTATTTACAAATGCACCCTCATTTCAGCCTTTGATTGCTATTCAATGTTGCCTGTGCTATTGCTTTCCACAGATTCTAATGCACAGCTTGCGTTATACTGAACATAAGTGATATACAAAGCAATACACTTGACATTTTGTGAATGTTTGGTGCAAATGTATCCCATGATTAATGGGAAAAAAGAAAAAGAAAGAGAAAATGTTACAAAAAAAAGCAGGCATGTTAGACGATGTTGTCTTCCTTAGTATTTCATTAAACCCTTGTACATTTATAATTTCGGAGATCTTAGAGTGCAGGCTGCCGTTGTTTATACATTACCAACCACCTGTAAACATCTGTTTTGGCCTGTGTTGGAGATACCAGAAAATAAGTCACTGTAAGCTACTGAGCTTTAATATTTATTGATATTAGTGTACGCTTTTATCTGCAGACTGAAATCCTATAGGTTTCCAAGTTACAATTTTACCCAAACTATAGATGTTCATTCCAAAATGTACTAGGCCGTTGCAATGTATTCATTATATGCTCTGTTCTGAGCCTGTTTTGCATTTATTACTCTTTGTTTTTAAACTTAATACTTTTTAAATTTAAAGTAAACTATTTATTGTTTTTGTATTTAGAATGACATTGAATGACAATTTTAAAGTTGGCCAGTTAAAAAAAAAAAATAGCATAAAATAAACGACTTCTCAGATAACGTAAAAACACTATGCAAAAACTATGTGAGTGGATTTATAACTGGACAGAAAAAAAAGCTTTGTAAACATCAACATTAATCGAAGTCAACATTAATTGAAGAACTTACAGGACAGAAACATGGCCACTTCTCTAACTGGGTGGCATTTTAATGCGTATCAACAGCACCACCTAAATGTCTCACGTTAAACATTATTTAATATTGTTCTGTGTTATGGGCTTTTACGTGTTTATTAAAGACGCGCAGCTGACATGAAATACAAGGGAAGATTACATGTCCTGTGGTGATCATACTATACGCCATGCAATGCAATAGCTAGGCTACTCCAATTTTATATAGGTCTTTCTTTATATTCAGCTTTTATACAGAAACTTTGTGCCTTGAAAATCAGTAGTAAAGGCAAAATGTATAAAAAGGTGAGAAACCGACCCTAAAATATACACTCCCCTTGCAATATACCCCCCCCCCCCCCACAAAAAAAAAAAAC